TCTTGGCTCTGCCTTTCGATATCAAATCATACCCACATCCTGTGTCCATGATGAACTTTGTTCTTGACCCTTTGGCTGGAATAGACAATGTCTTTGTGTCTGCATGATCCTTCTTTCCCTCGCATACATGAGGAATGACTTTATGATGGAAAACTAGGCCGTCATCTTCGTCAAAAGACATAGTGACCGCTAGGTCACCCTTTGGTCCAACTGGTATTCGGACCCTCTTGATCTCAGTATAGGGGACCATCAATATGCCTCTTGCCTCTGCGACCTTTTCTTCAAATCTGATTTGTTCTTTCCTCGTGTAGCAGGTGAGCTCTTTCTCATCGTATCGTTTGATGTCCGGACGTCGAGGTTTCTTTTCTACTACCTTCCATTTGTCCCTGACTGAGTAGATCGCTTCGTTCAACATGATTTCACAAGTCTCTTCATCAAAGGACACTTTTGCGCCTCCTTCTCTTGCCTTGGCGGATGCAGCAATCCCTTCATCTTCGGATTCGTCCATGAAGAGTTCACCGTCAATGGCTGGGGCTCCAGGCTTCGCCTTAGGCTTCTGTTTAGGCTTTGCCTTGGGCTTTGGCCTATCGTCTCCTGAGTCAGCTGGTGCAGATATCCCTTTCTTAGGAGAGGCTTTTGGGTCATGGTAGAACTTGCAATCCTTCCCTTTGTCACAAGTTCCTCGAATCCACATCCAACATACTGGCTTGTCATTCTTTCCGACAGAAGGTCCTCTGGATGGTGATCTGGGTTTCTTGTGACTGAATGGGCAATCTTTCCCCATAGTGCAGTTACCTTTCACGAAGAATTTGCATGGTATCTTCTTCTTGTCTGCACTCGGACTTCGGCTGCGATCCTTTCCATCACCTTTACCTTTCCCCTTTCCCTTTTTGTTCTGGTTTTCAGGATGCTTCTTGGGATTGGGTTTCGGCTTCACTGCAGCAGCGTCTTCTGAGACGACCTGTTCATGTTGCCCTTTTGGTTTCTTCTTCGGATCAGCTGGTGCAGCTTTCAGTTTTGGTGCAGGTCCGCCTGGTTTGAGATTCTGAAAGATATTGGCCACATTCTTCACTGCCTTCTCCTTTTCCAGGATCATCCTGTTTTCAGTTTGCCGTTCGATGTGCCTTCTGATCATATCACGTAGATGTTTGTATGTCTTCTTGGCATCATCGTCGTTCATGCTATTGTAGGCGCTGATGTCGTATGCCATGAGGTTTGAGTTCCTGATCTTTCTCCATAGGAGATCCCGAAGAGTTTCGTCGCTCGGGACGTCAACGGGCTTCATCCCTGCCAGAATCTCATCCCAAGTGTGGAAGAACAACGATAAATTCTTGTCTCCTTGATATTCTAGTTGGTAAAGGTGCATTGAAGTATATAAGACTTCCACATTTGATGTTGTCTTGAAATTCATAAGGATCAGGGCTAGGACCTCTCTTCCTTTTATGAGGCTTGATGTTCTCCCTTTTGCATTGATCCTCGTCCTCAACTTCATAGCTACACCTGAACCATCATCTTTCGCATCCATGACGACCTTGGTAAGAGCTAGGCCGAGTTTAGCATCGATTGAATGGAATCTTTGGTCTCCTGAGTCGACAAACTTGTCCGGATCAGGGTCGTCCATGGCTTCTTTGATCCAGTCGATCCAGGGCTCTTGATCTGAATCATTGGCCGCAATGATGATCGATTGAATGAGATTTGCCTTCCATAGTCCAAGATCATTGATCCTGGGCCATGACGGAACGTTTATCTTTGATTCTTCCTTCCTCGATACTTTCATGATTGTAGAGGTTGCCGGTGCAAGATGAGATGAAGAGGATACTTCTGTTTCTGAAATCTTATCCCTCAATGATTTGTTCGCCTCGGATAGCTCAATTGATTTCTCCCTTTCCTCGGCGTACTCATTGTGGGTTTCGGCATACCATTCATACATCTCATCTCGGCTCTCTGTCATTTCATTGTACCCGTCCTTGTAGTATTTCGCCTCCTCTTTTGCGTTCCGAATCTCATCTTCCTCGGACGCGTGGGTTGGTAACCCGCGGTCTCTGGAACTAGGACGCTTGCTGTACCGAGAGACTATGGGTGCCATTCGTGCTTCTGCTTTTAATTTCGCATTTTCCATAATGACATTCTTTGTCTCCTTCTGGCTTTCCAATAGTGCATTCTCCAGTTCTCCGATCTTCTGTTGAATTTCAGCACCATCATCGCCGAACATGGGAGCTCTCATCATATTCTCTCTTTTCAGCTGTGCGTTGGCTTCGGATAGAGCGAGGTTGACGTCTTTTAATTGTTGTCGTTCACGGATGGAACTTTCTATGACTTCGTTGTTGAATATTTCTCCTTTTGCGATAACCTCCTTTGCGATGTTTGCTTCGTATTCATGGTGGCTCGCCTTCTTTTCTGCCATTTCTCTAGCAGAGACTTCAGTCTGGCATACAAACATCTCCATTCTCATGCCCACTTCCATCTCTCCTATCTCCGCTCTCGCGTTGAGTTCAGCTCCACGTGCCATAGCCAGTTGACCTCGTAGATGATCAATAACCATAGCTTCCTGATTGCTTTGATCTTGAGATGAATGACCACTGTGTTGAAGACGTCTTTCCCTGACCTCACTGTTCCATTGTTCTTCTCTCTGGTGTTGGATCACCTCGTGCATATTGACATTCTCATCCTGTAGCGCAATCATTCTAGCTTGTATCTGGTCAGCTATTCCGACGAAGGCTGTGTTCTCATCCTGAATGGCTTTTGATCTTCTATTGATCGCCAATGAAGATTCATTCTGTTCTTGGATGTGTCCAATTGCTGCTTGAAGCTCTTGGGACATTCTGTCCTTCGTTGCTTTCATAGATTCAATCTCTGAATGTTCTTGATGAGTTTCTTGTGCAAGCTCTTGATATCTCATGTAGATATGTTCAGCTGTCGATTCCGCCAAGCGTAGTTTGTGTTCGAGCTCTTCAATTCTTATTGTTGCTCCTTCATCTTCCTGTGTCATCTCTTGTAGATGTCCCTGCATCTTCCTGTTGTAGTCAGACATTTGCCTGAACTCCACTTCAGCCTCGTGGTGTAGTCGTGAGTACCCAGCTTGGATGCATTCATATTCTTCATGAAGAAAATTGTATGCGTTTCTCGCCGATCTCAATTCTTCACCCAGCTGAATCTCTCTTCTTTGCTCTTTTGTTCCTCTATCATCGTCACGTCTCTTCTCTATACTCCTTCTTGGGGATCTCGCGGTAGACGTTATAGGCGATGTAGATCTTGTTGTAGCTCTCATCGATTTTCTTGGTCCTACGGGCGCAAGATCGGTCAGATTCCGAGCCGGTGGCACGGATCTTTCCGAGATTTGTGATCCAGTAGGCATAGTGATAACGTCAGCATTTGCTGATGAATCAGTACCCATTGTAGAGTCTGGTGACGAAATGGTGTTGGGACCACCAGGAGCAGCGAATGAATAGGGTTCGCTCCCATTTCCTCCTGAGCTTGACATTGCAGGTTTCTGTAATGACTAGTCTTGTTCTTGGTCTCGTGTAGCTCGTACGGCTATAAAGAGCGCGTACGGCTGATAACCTGCGAGTGGATCTTAATCAGCGAAGTTTGAAGCTATCACTGACGGTCCATAAGCGGCGTAGCGTCGGAACGGAAACCGCACCTTTTCTAGTCGCTTGAGCCTTGAGCCAAAGTACATATGGTATATATATATATGTACAAGTTGCACTGTACGTGTCGCTGCACTTCCATTCGCATATTCGACAAGAACTTGAACATCCTGACATGAGTACGGAGTACCCATGACATCCCGTGACTCCCACCCACCTCCAAATAAGAAATTGATTATTCTTAGGTAGGGAAGGTTTCCTTTCGTTTTTTTTTGGGCTACCTAATAGGGTAATTTCAAATCATGATTTTGGAATTTTTCGTGCACCTGCTTACAAAGTAAATCAAAAATCTAAGAACAAATGATGTTAATGATGTTGGTGGGTATAGGCAAATGTAACCTATCAGCTGGCCTGAATTCTGTGTTCATCTTATCAAATATTGAATGTTTTTTTGCCTTTTAAAGAGATGGACACATCCAATAAAAAAAACATGCCAAGAGATGCAAACAAATCAGCTGGCCAAAACTCTGTGTTCATCAAACCCATCGAATCTAAAACGTTCTTTTGCAGCCCGTGATCTCATGTGTCAACGTCATTGAATTTGAAATGGACTCTGTCACCTCACTATTGGCCTCTGCCCTCAATACTGACAAAGGGCGTAATGTTGGTGATTTTTAACACAAAATCATACTAATACATAATGCCTTCATGTGGTGGCTTTCATCGTCTGGGAATTTTGGGAATTTACACCCAAAGGCCAGTACTCACGGCAGTGAGAATCATAGACCAGGACCTTTATAATCCCGAGTACCTATTAAAGACACCATCCCCTATTCAAAAAAAACATCATGTCGGAAACCCCTAACTAAGGTATATATTTGTTTTTTTATTACCGCCCTTTAAAGCTGCTACTAAACTACCAACATGGTCGATTTTTGTGTAGTCTTTTCATTAGGCTCCAAAAGCAACCCTAACTGCCCACCTTTGTCCACCCTGTCTGTCCACCATGACACACCGCTCACGGACTCACCCGACATCGCCTTTCGAAAGCTGTAGGCTGTACTTGTTAGTCTAATGAAGAATCATTATTTCAATAAAGGTTGTTGTCAAGGGAAAAGGAAGACCCTTCGATCTGGAGTTATTTTTCAATTTTTGATACGAGCTTAGTAAAGGGTTCTATATAGAACTTTCCTGGGTGACTCTTCGGCTCTGATCCTCCCACTGACCCTATTTTGGACAACCTCGATTTCGGGGACCCCCTATTTTAAAAAAACGCACTCGAGTTTTTTAAATAAGGGGGGGGCGTGCTTTTTAATAGGTGGAAGGGATTATCAACTCCCAGACTCCCAGTAGACAAAAATGGAAGAAACCACACAGAAAAAGGACGCTGTGGCCAAACAAGCAGGAAACATAGTCCGGTGTTGGATCCGGATCTACTGGTTCCCATTCGTCAGAATCTCTGTTGAACTTGTACGTTGGGTCCACACCTTCGAATTCATAAAGGTCGAAATCTCCAAAGATACCCAAGCGTATCACTTGCAAGAATGCAGCATAGGTGGGAGTTGGTTCTTCCCTCAGTTGCAGGTTGTAGTAGGCATGTGTGGCAGCGAGAATGCATGTGCACGTGACCAGGAAGAAGGCCGAAGTGTCTTTGAGGGCTGAAAGAATTGGCAACAAGCGGGGTCCCATCCAAATTTCGCCGCGAAAGCTGTACAATGCGCGGAGCCAAGACATTGCGCTGAATATTGCCATAAAAGGCTTCTCTAGTTGGCTGGGGTCTACCAGTACTTGTCGGTAGACAGCCAACCAGCCAATGGCAATGTAGCACGCGTCTGCCAGGTTGTCAAACTCGAAAAGCTTTACACGATACCTCCGAAAGGAGAAAGAAAGATGCTGAATGAGTTCCTCGATGGTCTTTTGCCCGTGCAGCACTGCAATGAACATCAACGAGCCCTGACGGAGGCCAAGGCACTTCGGTCCAACAGTTCCGTCCTTTGAGGATTCTCATGATGTTAATTTACATAAATTGACTAAAAGATACATTGCAAGGTCTGAGAGTCTTAAATGATGTCTTATGAAAAAAGCACTTGCAACAAAGTGCAATGACAAACGTTCTTGACCAAGAGGTGAGGTTCTGTGGACTCAGGCTGGCCATGCCGCAAGGTGTAGGAAGCATGGCAAAGCAAAGCCACGGTCAGAAGGCTGCAAAAAATATCCCATGCTGTGGCCATCCGCATTTGCATCCAGGCCGCCGACACGATGGCTTCGACCACATCTGTCTGCAAAACACCCTCGTTGGCAGTTTCTTCCAAGGCCTCAAGCAAATCATGGCTACATGCGTCCCTTGCACATAGGCCAGGCAAAACACAAAGGTTCACTTGCACTTCTGGTGCAAAGAAGAGGTTCTGGTCTTCAAGGTTGGCATAATTTTCTGGAGCCTGAAGAACATGTCGACCCCTGTGACGGTCGAACCACACAGGTGCCAGAATCACTCGGAGCCGTTCTCGAAGGTGAGCGCGCTTCAAGCTTCGGACCGCCCCGGAGGAGTCCTCCGCGCTTCGCATCTCGGCTTTCTGCATCCAAGCCTCTAAGGCGTCAACGGCATCAGGGCCTTCAGTGCGGATTAGCCAAGTTAACAAGTGCAGGTCACCGGCTCCAGCGCGGCAGAACTCTTGGATCACACAGAGATTGGAATCGTTCATGGCCAGCTGCTGTGGGCATCGACCGTCTGCCTTGGCTCTCAACAATGTTGCTACCACATCTGCATGGCCGAATTCCACTGCCCGGTCGCGAGGCGTCTTTCCCCAGTCCCGATCTGTAGCATCTTTGTCCGCCCCACTTTTCAGCAAAAATTCCACGGCTTGCAGGGCGCCATCACCAGCAGCCTGGTGTAGAGCAGTGCACCACACGTAGTTCCAATCTCCGTATTCTTCGAACCACTTCAACGCTTCAACATCCTCGGCCTCCTGGGCCGCGGCCCTGGCAGTAGCGAAGATCTTCTTCTCTGCTTGAAGGTCCCAACAGTTGGCCTGGAGGCAGGTGGCCAAACCAACAAGTGCAAAAATATAGTATACATGTGTGTGTACGTGTATATAGTAATATATTATATATATGCATTGTATGTGGTGAATAGACTGTATATATGTGGATAATGGATATTATCCGGGGCGTTTGCGTGTATGTATCGAGGAGTATATCCAAACGGATGGGCAAAAATGACTTATCGAAAGTAAGCTCAGTTGGCGTAAGAGTTTTTCAGGCCAAGGGCTATCTTATGTACTGTAGAAGTGTAGCAAAAACAGTGCGCATGACAAACACAATCAGCGGCAAACCAGCATGGAATAGACATTCATTCCGGACCTGCTCATCATGATATGTTTATTTCTTTTGAGGGGGATGTCTTGGAATCTCGAGTGCATGCATCTGCTGTCTCAAACTCCTAGGTCATGATTGTTTTGAGATGACAAAGTCCTAGGTCATCATTGGTTTCTATGCAAAATCCACTATTCTGAAGATAGTCATGAGTCATGGCATAGAAGTTTCTGGCCATAAGCTCTTTCAACATGACAAAAGCATTGTGATTGTTTCACAAAATTTATGGGACACTTCCATGAGATTGATGGCTTCATATTTAAAGCTGGTTCATCAAGGCTCAGCAAACCTTGTTGACTTGCAACATATGCCTGAAAAGTACCCAGAAGCCTCACGAATACACATGGAACCACCCAGTGAAATTGAGCCTTGTTGCCTTGTTGAATGCTTGTTACTACCATGCAAATACCTCAATACATGTTATGGGTGTTCCGTTTCCTCGCAAACCATGTTCTGGTGGCCCTGCAACAAATACACAGGCCTTGCACCTTCTCGGTCTGTGTTTCCCCAAAGCAGTTATTGGCTGTTGCTCACCCTCGCAAGGAACTTCAACCAAACTGTATAAACCCTTTCTCTAAAACCGCAAACCAGCTCTTCACATTGTATGGCAAGCCTGAATCTTCTGCAGTGAGGGGTGGAGGATTGAGATTCTGCCATGTTTGATGGATCCAAATTGTCAATATATTTTGACAAGGAGGGTGCTGATCTTCTCCTTTGTCCATATATATATATATGTGTGTGTGTGGATGCAGTAAGCACGGGTATATAATAAGCAATACTGATCAGGCGCTTGACCTTTGAGAAATTCCTAGCTGCTGGCTGTTTTCCTTACCAGTTGGCTCTTGCCAGAAAGCTGCGCAAGTACTTGCCGTAAGCCCTAAGAGCTCACTCTCGGCCCTGAAGGCATTTACCAAGTCTTGGGGTGTCAGGAAATCACATCGTCCACTTGATTTTCGCCTGTGTATCTCCATCACCATCTCGTGCGGCTTCCAAGGTCTCCGGGTCTGCGGTGGTCAGCTTCTCAGGCGTTTGATCCTCAGGAGCCTTCAATTCGTTGTGTGGCAGGTGCGGTGGCAGCCACGGGAGGATGCCCAAGGGGCTTGGACCTTTGGCTCTTGCTGGCGCAAGTGGTACATCCTCCTGAGTTGGGCAAAGCACAACTTGCGATTTGTTCTTCCTTCGAAGAGTTGAACAAGCGGTCAGTTCCAGAACATTGCAAGTTTAGTGGATGTAGATTGAAGAATTGGCGTTGGCACCTATGATCCATGATCAAAACTCGAGGTGGTCCTGGAGGGCCCCAACACTCGTTTCAAGTTTAAACGAAGAATAGCTAGGCTAGATTCCGGCTTGTTTGTAGATAACTAGACCAAAATCTGGACAAGTCAGAACCATCGAATCAAGCCTCCTGGCACAATCTTTCATCACCCTGGCGGACTGAATCTTCAACCTGCAGCACTTGTGCAAGATGAAGTCGCTGCGGAAACTTCTCAGCGATCTGCCACGCTGTCAAACCATCATTGGTCCTGGCATGGACATCTGCCTTGTTCTTCAGAAGCTCAGCCACCACACCTGGCAACGACTCGACAGAAAACCCAATGGGAACCCCACATTAACATTCTCTCCCAGGACATGAAGCATCGTGAGGGATGCAACATGGTGAAACCTATCTCCCTCCAAGCGCCTTTCATCAATCCCTCCCCACCTGGACCATCGCCCTCGCTGCCCACGGCACAGTGCAAGGGTGTGGCACCCGCTCGATTGGTGGCGTTCACATTGGCCCGGGCGTCCAGGAGTGCCATCACCACAACGGTGTTGCCTTCTGCAGCCGCACGATGCAAAGCTGTAGCACCGTCTTTGTGACAAACCCATTGGCTGAACCAGCCTCGGAGGGATAAAGCCGTGGCTGAAACAAAGACATGGGACAAACAAAAAGTAGAAAATATATAAACAAATTACGCGTATGAAGCTTGCAAACATGTCACAATGGATAGAACACGGAACAGGACATTTCTGTTTCCGACTGGCTTGGTGGATGTGTTTGGACGATGAGCATACCTCGAAACAGTTTTTAGTTTGCAGGTCGGTCTCACTCAGGGAGTTGTGCTGTTGAGGGTGTCTTGGACTGGGATGCGAAAAAAAACACAAAAGATCTTAGGTACTTGCAAACAAAATGAACAGCGGCCAATATGGTGAACTTTTGTTTCCAGTTGTTTCCAATTTCCAAGCACGTTGTTCCCCAGATCGCGTGAGCTATTGGGGTTCTTACTTCAAAGATGGGAAGAGCTGCATGTGTGCATTTTCGAGCCTGGGCGCTGGCACCGCTGCTGTTCTGGTATAGGAAGAGCTGCGTGTGTGCGTCTTCGAACTTGGGTGCTTGTGCCGCTGCAAGGTGCGCTTGGGCAGGGCGCCGCTGCAGGATGCCGCTGCTGTGTGCGCTTGGGTGTTGGTGCGCTGCAGGGTGCCGCTGCTGTGTCCGCCAGGGGCTTGGGCACTGTTGGTGCTGCTGCTGTGCGCGCTTGGGAGCTTGGGCGCTGGTGCTGCTGCACCGCTACTGGCGCTGGTGCTGCTGCACCGCTACTGTCCGTTTGGGATCTTGGGCGCTGTTGGTGCTGCTGTGTGCGCTTGGGAGCTTCAGCGCTGTTGGCTGGTGGCTGGTGCCGCTGCAGGGTGCCACTGCGGTGTCAAGAAGAAATAAAGATCCGAGATGTGTCACGCACGACTCTATGTCGCCGAATGTGTACTTTTGCATATGTGTTTACTGAAGCAAGTCCCCAGCGAAAATTATGATTGATTTTGCAGGTGACTTTACTATACTTTACTTAAGCAACGCCCCAGCGAAAGTTATACTTGACTTTGCATATGACTTTACTTAAGCAAGGCGAAAGTCATCCAAGCGCAAGATCCCAACATCAAAGCAACTCACCCCAGCAAGATCCCAGCGCCAAAGTAAGATCCCAACAGCAAAGCGATGCTAGCGTAGCAGCAGCTCTACGCAACCATACCTGCAAGCTACAGACAGATGTTCTTGTAGCATACCTATTGTAGGTATATGTCGCAAATGTCTTACCACCTCCGTAGCAATATTAGCAAACGTACTCATAGCAAACACGCAGCTATATATTGGAAAGAAACAGATGTGTTGATACATTAGCATTTGTAGCTCCCAAATGTATTAGATGCAGATGCGTTGCGCACAGTGCGTTGTGCACAAGATTTCTACGGAAGAGCCCTTCTCAACGCTCCCGGGAAAAGGAACAACAACAACAGCAGCAACAACAACAACAACCACGGCCACGGCCACGGCCACAACCACCACCGCCATCACCACCACTACGACAACGACAACGACAAACCCAGTAAACGAACTCCCCCCAAAAAATGAGAGAGTTCGACTGTAGCCAACAAGTGTCAACAGCTTGACAAACTGTCAGCAAAAATATTGCGCACAGTTTTTCAATGCAACGTCGCTTTACGTGGTGCTAAATGTCAGCACTTTGGCGCAGCCTTCCCAAACAATTTTTCCCCAGATAGCGTGAGCAGGATGAGCTGCGTGTGTGTGTGGATGCTGGCGCCGCCTGGCGCCGCTGCAGGGTGGCGCTGCTGTGTGTGCGCTTGGGAGCTTGGGTGCTGGCGCCGCTGCAGGGTGCCGCTGCAGTGCCCACTTTGGAGCTTGGGCGCTGGTGCTGCTGCAGGGTACTCTGTAAGCAATGGCGCCCCTTTTCCAAGACCACTAAAGGGCTGCGGATGTACGTGTACAAGTTGTATGTACTAGCCTGCACCCCCCTTGGAACTTTACATGGGGGTATAGTTCCACAGGCTTTTCTCAAGCTGGCCCATCTATTGGGCAGCTCCTGCACAAACGCAGGACTTCAAAGTTCCTCGACCGCTGCCCCAGTCGTGGGCATGTACAGTCGATGTGGAAAACATCAAGGCCTTCGAGCCAGAAGACCTTGCTCCATTTCTGTGCCATCCACTCGACCTGGGTGCTTGCATCTTTTGTCTCCGTTGTCTTCCCAAGTCGGATGCTCAAGCCCCCGTTGACCTTGCCGAACAGCCAGAGGAATCCAGCCAGCATGATCACCTGGATCACAAGGACCCAACTGAAGGCGACAGCCAGATCTGTAAAGATCCACTGGCTGAGGGTGCCACTCTCGGCATTGGGCTCATCGGCTTCTCGTGCTCCATCTGCCTGCTGCAACATCGTGATGAGTGCAGCAATCATCATCTTCTTGCTGCACTGGTTCGCAGCGCTCACCACATTCACGTGGTTCTTCTCCTTCTCGCTGACCTCCTCATGAGTGCCAATCTTCAACATGGCCCTCAACTTGTGGAATCTCTCGATCGTCAGGGCTTTGGTGCCAAAGTCAGCCGTGTTGTCACTGCTCGGCACAGCATGCAGCGTGAACAGCTTTCGCTGCAATGCCTCTTGAACCCATAGGCTCTTCACTTCCAAATGGCGGATGCGCCCCACACCTTGCCGTTGGAAGACTCCTCTTGCTGCGCTTGAGTCCAGGAAGACTTCCATCTTGATGGGATGTCCTGCAAACATGAAGATCTCCTTCAGGAACAATCCCTCGGCACATGCTGCAACTCCTCCGTTGAACTCAGCTTCGCCTGAGGACAGGCACAGCATCTGTAGGCTGCGGGCGTAGCTGTAGAGCAAGCAGCCACCAACACTGAACACGGCGCAGGCACATGACTTTCTCGTCTTCTTGCAATTCGCCCAGTCCGTGTCCGAATGGACAACAAGGGTCTCGATGTCCCCCCTGCGCTCCAGCCAGATGCCATAATCCTTCGTGCCCTGCAGGTATCTTGCCAGGCGGTGCAGCTTTGCAATGCTTCCATCGTTGGGGTCTTTCATGTCCTTCGTGAGCTCGCGGATGGCAAACTGGATGTCAGTCCGGTCGTAGCTCAAGTAGAGTGCAATGCCACCTCCAGCTCTGAACAGCTTCGTACAGCTCTCGTTCAGCTTCTCACCCTCCTTCACCTCACCGTGAACATAGGGAGTCGGTGCTGGGTTGCAAGTCTCAAGCTTCAACATCTTCAGCAGGTCGGTGATGTACTTGGACCTTGGGCTGATGAAGATTCCATTGTTATGGATCTCCCTTGTGCGCTTCAGGTGCGTGAACTTCTCTCCCTCAATCAGCGGGTGGATCTGGCTCTTCATGCGAATCCTCTTGTGGAGCTCTTTCTCCAGCTCTTCCAAGGATCTCTGCGGTCCGGCGGCAAAGAAGTCATCCATGTGAACTTCCATGAGGATGCCCTTGCTGGAATTGTGGAACAGCCAGGGTGCAGCTGGGTTGCGGCTGAACCCCAAGTCCTTGAGGCGCCCTGCTGCCCATTCAACGAAGCACTGTCCAGCAATCCTCCTCCCATACCATTCCTTCTTCAACTTCCAAACCACCTTCTCAGGCAGGGTCACACCGGCCTCGATCTGCTTCTCGATCCGTCCTTCGGAGGGAGCATGTATGCATCTTCTTTGATGGGAACCTGCCAGAAAGCATTCTCAGCATCTGCGGTCATGAAGGCGTAGCCCATCTTGATGCCAATGACGTCCACCACTCTTGAAGTCGATGTGCTGGAGGCTACAGCAAACACATCAGTCCTTGGATCACCTCGTTTGAACTCGCGGACGCAGTATCTGCATCTGACTGCTCCGTCCGGCTTTCGCACCTCGACCCAGGTGGCATCCAGCACCTTCATTCCAGGCTGGTAGGACACGGGCTCATAGGTGTCGTACTTGTCCATCTTTCCATATTCGACCTCTCGGCCTTGCGCTCGTTCCTCTGCCGTCAAAGGCTTGCTCTCCTCATCATCGGAGTCCATCGCTGCCATTTCCACATCCTCCTCATAGACGATCACATCCTCGGTCGGCGAGTACAGTGCTCCAACATATACTCCGCCCACGCGTGCCCTCTTTTCTGGGTTTTCATCATCTCCACCAGGTCAGGCACGTCTTGCAGAGACCTTGATCTCCATGGGGGACTTGTCTGTTCGGTCTCCATCGCCTCCTGAGAGGGCTCCACATTGGCAGGCTTCTCGCTGATGAGGATCGGTTCGTCATTCCGTCCACTGCCGGACGATGGCCCGCCTTGATTGAGTGTTGGCTCTGTCGGCTCTTCCTCAAAGGTCTTGATCTTGGCCTTCTTCTCATCAGTCTCAGCTTCCGTAGGAACTGCATCGTATTTTCCACCTTTATTGACTCCTTTGTCTCCTTTGCTTGACTTGCCCTTCTTGCCCTTCTCTGCATGGGACACTGCTCCCACATCCATAGGTGCCAAGCCACCATCGTCCTTGGCCAGCGCGCCACCAGACTTGTAGATGTTGCCGGTCTGCAGGTAGTCCCGGATGAACTTCTTTGCTCTCTCATAGTTCGTGCCAATCTGCGTTCCAGCAGCTCTCATGGCATCTTTCACCGGGCTCGGAACATGCTTCATCAACACAGCAACTCGCATGGACTCAGAGACCGTCTCCTTGGACTGCATCTCATAGCGCCTCACCAGCACTTCCCATGACTCGATCGTCTCAAGGATCTCGGACTCCTTGATGTTCTTCCAGTCGGGCGCAATGATGGCCGTGAGCATCGCCATGTGGCGTCCTCCCACTGGTGGTTCATAGGCATCACACAATGCCTTCCAGGCTTGGAACCCATTCTGGCCCTCCACGTTCATCAGGATCTGGAGACCTCTGCCGTCGACGCTCTGGGTGAGCAGGTTGAAGAGCACAGTCGACAATTCCTGAGCCGTGTCACTCATGTCGATCGTGGACAGCTCATTCTGCGAGGCGGCATTCTCAGCAGCTTCCAGCATGCCTCGGTAAGCACGGTCGAGCAGGTGCACGTAGCCCCGTGCAACGAACACCCAAGCCGGCCAATCTTCATCCTTTCCACTGAATGCTCGAAGCTTTCCGATGGCTTTCGTGTCGATGAGCCGCGGACCAGGAACTGGTTGAGGTAGTAGCGGATGAGGTTGGGATGTAGGCGACTCAAAGCCATCAGCCGCACCAGCCGCCATGTCGAAGGCAAGGGGCGGCGTCACAGGCGCTGCCATGTGCGCTGCTTGCCACCCGGCCCAGGGATTTACGCCGTGCCCACACCACGAGATTTCACGTGGATTTACAGGGCGCCCGCCTCACCGCCGCCACTAGGGCCTTACGTCGGTTTTACAGGGGGTCAGGAGCAGGAGCCCAACCAGGGCTCCGCTACCATGTAAGCAATGGCGCCCCTTTTCCAAGACCACTAAAGGGCTGCGGATGTACGTGTACAAGTTGTATGTACTAGCCTGCATACTCCCCACAGAAATCTAAGTTTTATCTATTTTTACTATCTGGGGTCTATGCTGGCGTAATTGATTCCATGTATTTCCAGTTTCCATACAAACACATCATAACAAATGAATACACATGAGATCAAATGAGTCAATTAGTGTTGTATCGCCAAGCATCTCAGGGCTTCGGAGTCGTTGGCCTTCTCTGCTGCATGTCTCGCAGCCTGGGTGATCCTCCTTTGCACCTCCCCACCCGGGTCCTCGGTGAAGCCAAGGACCACACAGAGTTGTGTCAGTATCTCAGTATGTCTCAGTACTTCCAGCTCGGTCAATTTAGTTACCAGAGCTAATGTTGGAAAGTAAATCTAAGAAGCTACTCGTACACAGCAAAAATCAAACCAATAAGAAACACCCCAACTGATACCCATCACTTGCGAGTCGACCTAATGGGCCGAGGGCACACTTGCATTCTCGACACCAGGACCATGAAAAGTAGTGATTTGGGATGATTTGGGAATGTACTGTGTGTCCTAAATGGATTACTGACCCCTCCCAATGTAACAACATGAGATGGTCAACATCGTTTCTGGCCACGTTTACACTACCCCATTTCGCGATCGAAGACCAAAGCACGGTCCCTCCGATCTGCGGAGTCTCAGGGTCCACTTGGTCATCATCCTGGCTCGAGCCACACGAGTTGGGGAAAGAGCCTGCATCCCGAAACACGAAAAACAAGCTCACCCAAGAATTTTAAATTGGAGGACCTTCAAAGAAACAACATCATTTGTAACTACTCATTCATGTTCATGTTGATAGTGCTGTTCGGGAGTGTTCGTCCATGCATGATTGATTGATCGATATTGAATGATAACGCAACTATATACTGTACCCGAGAATACTGGAAGAATCTGCAATTTTTATTTTCATATCATTGTATTTTGTTATGCTGTAATTAACTATATTATATTTATTTTATGTTTCCATGTATTGCCGTATTTCCCGAAGCCAAGAATCATGCACAATAGAAACTCAGCCGCGCTGCGCTCCTACAATCCCCTACATGTTACATGTTCCCTGTGTGTAAAATGTGCCATAGGTATCCGTAGGCCACCAAAAGAACAGCTACCAAACCTTAAAGCACCCCTGGTGCTCAGAAAAGGTAAGTGGAGGGTTCTCAATGTCTTTCTACCAGTACCGCGCCACGCCAACCAATCTGATGGCGTTCCCCAGAATTCCACGAACAAAGACCTCACAACTCGGCATCCGGGCATGGAACGGCATGACGGCAGGCTTTTGGAGCGGCCAGCTTCAGCTTCAGCGCATTCAAACAATGAAATGGACTTATATAATTAGATTGCGTTTTGTATTTGTGTCTGCTCACAGGAGTTCAAAAGAGGAACCCAGTAGCTCTTCAGCAGGTCATTCAACAACACACCTTCACGGTAGGGCTTTTCGGAGGGAAGTGAGGCGTAGCTGCTTAGCTGTTGGAATGGAGCATCCAGCGATTTCCTAAAGCTTGACTAAAACACCTCAGTCCGGTGTGGACGGGCATGCTTACCGTCCTCTGCTAGGGTGCGAGCGACAAACTGCGGGCAAAAGAATGTCTCGGTGAATCTTCTGGGTACGGGCAGAAATTATCAGAATATTGAATTATCATCAATAATCAGAAGCAACAGCAAACCTCAATGGAATATGACAAAATAAAGAAAAAGAACCAAGACCCACCATTCTATAGGTATATGAATTGCTGCATTGCTGGACAAAGGCCATCGAAAACAGCAGTGTTCTCTGGGTCAAACATATGAGTTGCTTTCTTCCAAAGTTGGCTCCACTGAGTGTTCAGACTGCAGCCAACTGCGCAGTACCACGGTCACCAATCTGGTTTTCGCCTAGGTCGAGTTTTTCAGCCCTTTGGGATACTAGTTGTAGCCAGAAGCTACTAGAAATAGTACGACAAATGGCCTAGCAAGACTGCCATGAGCCAAGGTACTGAGGTCTAACTTGCACAGTCTTTCACAGCGAAGTAGTGCAGAGGCCAGCAAGCCCGCACCTCCATCACCTAAGGGGCCATCCGTCACTTAGCGACCTTTTCCAGTCCATTCCAAGCAATTCAGACCCGATCCCTAGGGCCCTGGCCGATGCGACTGCCTCCCAGGATCTCGCCCACTTCATGGCCGCCGAGTCCAAAGGCCTGAGTCGAGGGACGAGTGTCTCTCGATCGATTCGTTCTGAAGCACCGGTGAAAAGCCACGTGAAGCACCCAGTGTAGAAGGGTCTGTTGAAGTCTGTTGAAGTCTGTTGTTCATAGTTCATAGTGTCATTTGCTTTTTGGGGTTTCAGTTGTTTTCTCGCTTCTGAGAAGCCCGCATGCAAATGGCAGCGCGGCAAAGCTGCTGCCAGGCTTAAAGCTCCACGATCACCCACACGATTTCGTGCTAGGTCAAACCTGGCCGGGTAAAATCCAAAACGACTCTGCTCAATCTGGAGGCACGTGTATTCGGATCCATTTAGTTGAGGAGGATTAGCGATTTGACAAGTTTCAAGATGTTTCAAGAGCTCATTGCACATCCATAGACCCTCTCTAATTGTGGCTCGAAAACACAGCGACTTGAAGAAACCTCAAGCATTCTACTTGAACTGGCTGGATAGGACATACTGAATTAGGACATGCGTGGACACGCTGAGATTCTCCAAGTTAGATTTGGGCCTTTGTAGCTGACCACATTTGGGCAGGGCTGCTGCGAAGCGCTCCGCACCCACGTCACTCACCTGCTGGGCATCACTCAAATTTGCTTGATCTTGATAATCTTGATATAGGATGCAGCGAGCGGACTCCACATGTGAGTTCTCCACTAAGGGTGCCTCGTTCTCACTCAAGTCTAGAAGTTGGAGATTTGAACAGCGTGGCATAGCTCGAGCCTGGAAGGTGTGGGATAACGGAAAATCAATGAGAAAAAGAGGATGAACCAGGTCTGACATCTCTACACAGGATAAAATGCATCCATCACATGAATACAGCATGCTCCCTCTGTAGAGCCTTTAGATACCACTAGTTGAACTCCTTCAACCACATCTTGTCATGTCTTAACTAAGCAACTTGAAACATCTTAAAACAGCGCTGATTCAAACACCTGGATGAGCAATGGCACATGGATGTCTGAGCAATCTACCAATTCTCCAGCTCCGTTGTCACCAATCTCGTTCCTTCGGAGGATGAGCCCCTGCAAACCTGCGACTCTCGTGCTTCTCGTTCCACAAAATAAGATATCAATCATCTGCCTCCCACTCTCAAGTAGTATTTACTATTCACAGAGGATTCTAAGATATTCTGTGATATTCTAAGTACATGGGTCTTTCTCAACACTGTACTGCCAGTAAACAGCTTGGATCCTTACCTTAATGCACCCGTCTTATTGAGAGGTCCTTTCCTCTTTATTTTGAAACAAATGAAAACACCAAAGGACGGCCCGTCTTCAGGTCACCTTGCCATGGCCCTGCAAGCAACTCGACATTCGCTTGCGAAGCCACGTCTGCGCCTGAACAGTTGGGTAAAGCCATGGCCAAACGTTCGGCACCCGGATCTCCGATGAAGTTGCCTCGGAACGGCCCGTGTTAATGATCTGATGAGATTGGAGAGCGGAAATGAGCGAAAGAATGGCGAGTGAGATGAGTGTCCTGAATTGTTTGGATAGAACAGCAAGTGTGAATGCGAGTGTGTCTGTGTGTCCGTGTGTCAACAGTTGTCAGCAAAGACCACAGGAACACAAACAACATGGCTCTCTGGACGGACATGACGACAGGCCCAAGTGAGACTACAAGCGAATCTAAGTAATACACTGTCAAAAGCTAGCGCTTTGATGGAACGTACACTGGGCAGTGCTGCAGCAAGGCCTTAGGATCCAATGGCTCACAAATAATACATTAAAAGTGGTTATAATATATGGGTGTGCCTCAAAAAACTACAACACAAACTCTAATTAATCAAGTTGACTGTCTTCTACGCATCGCACAACTTGTCTGCCATGCCTGCCCCTCAAACTGGTAGTTTGACTGACAAATTAATTGATCACAGCCGCTGTTTGATTTCAGCATACACAAAATAGGTCCCAGGCTGCAAAGCCCAAGATCGCCGATCTCATTCCCGGAAAGGTCCAGTAAGTGCAGAGACCTGGGTCTGAAAATCTGAAAAGACCCAAGATTACTCAAGGAATGGCAGAGCCACGAGTACTTGCCAGTATTTTTGCGCGAGGCACTCACAGGATCTCACAGGTGTGCCAGGTTTGAAACAAGTTATGCTGAGACTTGCACTGAAGCACTCGAGGGCTCTGCAAGAGGATGTTGGCCTTGATGAAGAAAAGTATGGGGAGATGCCAGGATGGGAAAATGAGAGACAATTATGTTTGGGGCATAAATTATGGGGCGTGGTGTGCGGTGGTGCAAGATTTTGTCAACAGCATGGCACACTTTTTGAAGACATATGAGCGATCGCCAAACCTATCCTAAATTTTTTTTAATTCCATATGTTGGTATCGCTTTTGGGGGCTCGCTATATCGCTTTGCAGTGTTTCGGATGTCTTTGTCACACTTCTTGAGGATTTCTCTTGAAAATAGAAAAGAAAGAAGGAAAGAAAGGAAGGAAGGAAAGAAAAACACACAGAGAGAGAGAGAGGGAGAGAGAGCGAGAGAGTTTTCCATTGACAACATCATAGCACTTCCTTCCCCCTTCATTGCGGTTCTTGTTCTAGAGCTCTTCATCTGTGTCAGACTCCACAGGCAATGTGAAAATGATACGAAAGGGGATCCGCTCATCTAGACCACATTTTGATCATCCAGGGGTATCGCTTTGGTGTCGCTTCATGTAAAGCGAACGCATATCAAATGATTGAAGAAAATGATTGGATATGATTGAAGCGTACATTGCGAAGGTATCGCTTTTGGGGGTTCACTGTATCGCTTTACAGGTGTTTGGATGATTTCAAGAGTTGCACAGAGCAACTATTGGGTCGCAGCCATGTCACTCCTCGCTCATCTGAGCTCCCAGCCAGCGTCTCTGCGCCCGAGTCGCCGATGCGATTACGGGTGAGATCCAGACCTGATCCGCTCTGCGGCTTGCCAGAAGCTGACTCGCGTTCTGCTTCGTATCGATAATGACAAGTCAAAGAGAGGTGAATGGTCGCATTCCGGAAACTGTTTGGCTGGCGCATGTTTCCATCTGACGGTTCCATCTCCTGTTGCGATGTTTAAAGGGTACGGGTACCTGGCATTTCGAGAAGACCCCGCCCGGCTGGACGCTGGTGGCTGTAGCTGCTTCATAACATATGTGGTCCATGCACTCCGCTACAAAAGAACACAAAATTCTACAAATCTTAGCAATTCCTTTTCGGTTGGACTGCCCACAGCAGGCTAAGCTTGAGGACTTGCTTGACACACATCTACTGCCAAGCAAGCCGCTATCTCTGATTCCATGTCAGCATCCCTCATGGACGGCTGTCACGAGCTTCCTGTACAAAGTCTGCTAATTTGCCACGTTTGATTCAAAGTCTGCTGCAACTCCTCGCCAAACTCCGTTTGCTCCAAAGCCATCTGGCCGGCTTGGCCGGACCAAATGCCCCTAGGCCAAGTGAACCTTGGCCTACTAGGTGGCATTTGGTGGCAGCAAATGGCTCTACTAGGGGGTTGAGCGGGTCGGCGGAGGCCCCAGTGCTCCCTGGAGGCCTCCTTGACCTTTGCTGGCCTCATGGAACCTCCGATGAATGGCTAAATTGTAGACTTACATCGGAGTGTATAAACAATTATAAATCAACAAAACTGCATATCTTGAGCCAAGTGTTGTTGTTTGTTTTTGTTGTTGTTGTTGTTGCTGTGGACACCTCTCTCTGTGCACTGGCGCGTTGAGTCTTGCGCAACTGGATCTCAAGGCAAAGGTCCCTTGCTGCTGAGGGCCGCACGTTGAAGCTGGCTACAACTTCCCAAGGTGCCTTGAAGCCTCAGACTGTACACATGCTCAAAGCCGCCAGTACAACACTCGTTCTTCAATATTTCTCACTCAGTCGACAGTGATTTACACAACATCTTTCAACTTGAACGGGGACCAGGACGCATCTGCTGTTCTGTGATTGATGATTAATGCAGAACTAGCTCGCCCAATCTCTAGGTCAAAGGCTGTCCCATCTCCAGATCGCCCCACTTCATGCGTGATAATGGCATCTCAATGGCCCTCTCCACCACATCCTGACAGTTGATGGTCTTTCGTTTCTTCCATCTGCTTCGGTCTTGAGGGACCTCATAGACTTCTTGATACAGAACTCCCAGCAACTCACGGTCATGGC